GTGGGGCGTCGGAGCATCGCAGGGATGGGGGAGGACTAGGGGGAGGAGGTTGAGGAGGAGGATGAGGAGGAGGAGGACGGGGGGGGGGCACGAGGAAAACGAGGAGGAGGAGGAGGAGAAGGAGGAGGAGGAGGAGGAGGGGGAATGAGAATGGGAATGGGACATGGTGCGCAGTCCGAGCACTACGCCCTGCCACCGCGGCGGCCAGTTTCACCCGGCCGCCCCCTCCCGACGGTGTGCCGAGCGGTCACGGCGCCGGAGGAGGAGGAGGAGCAGAAGGAGGAGGAGGAGGAGGAGGAGCAGAAGGAGGAGGAGGAGGAGGAGGAGGAGGAGGAGGGGGAGAAGGAAGGGGGGTGGGGTTGGGAGTAGCACGAGTATCATTAGCATTATGAGGGGATGCGGGAGGGGGTGAGAAAGTCGATCTGCAGGATTGGACATGCAGCGCCGTTATGATACGCATTTGAAAGGGGCCTTCTTGGCCCGCTTACCCCAATCGGTACAACTTGCCCTGCTTGCCCCACTTGGGCAAGCGGGCAAGTGGGCAAGCGGGGCAAGTGGTACGAAGTGGCCTCCCTCGATTCCCAGACGTTCATGTTTGAGCCCGCGCGGGCGGGCAGGGCAAGTGGGACAAGTGGAGCAAGTGGGGTGCGTTTCAAATGGCGGCGCGCCCCGCGATTGGGGCCGCTTCCTTCTCGCATAGGTGCCTGACCCCCCCCCCCGCGTTTGAGCACCTATGGGTCCTATGGGGGGCCTTAAGGCCGTCGTAGGCTGCATGGATCCCGAGGTGGCCACAGCGCCCAGAGAATTGAATTTATCGTTGACTGGATTTTGACATCTTGATACCCTGTTGGAGTGATATCGCGCTGTCTTGGTGCGTGTGACCCGCCCCGTCTCCAGGGTCTCGACCTCGAAACACCCTGCGAAACATTCCTCGAAACACTCCGCGAAATACACCCCGCGAAACACTCCGCGAAACACACCCCTGACACACTGTCCAGGCGAAGGGTCCAATCATGTTTGTGTACATATATATATATATATGTATATGTAATTGTATATGTTTATATGTATGTATATGTTAATGCATGTTTCTTTATGGCTTTGGTATGTGTATATGTATGTGAGTATGTATATGTAGTGCATGTATACATTTACATACATGTCTGTGTACATGCATATATATATATATATATATATGCATATGCGTGTGTGTATGCGTATGCATGTGAATCCGTATGTGTAGATGTCTTTGCATATTTACATGCGTACATATATGTACATGCGTTTGTCTGTGTATCTGGCTATGGTTAAGCACGTACGTTTGTGTATGCACATGTTTATGTATATAAACGTGCATGCGTATTGGTAACCGTACATGTCTATGTCTAGGTGTATGCGCTTTCAAATGTATATGTATTTATATATACATACAGCCATGCATATCTGTGTATAGACATACGTACATGTTTTTGTGTGTGTGTCTATATATACGTGTGTGTGCCACTGCACATGTGTACCTACAGGTATCTGCAGCTGTGTATGTATATGTCTAACTGTTTGTTTAATTATGCATATGTATGTGTTGGGTTCTCTTAGGAGCTTACGAACCCTTTACCTCTTTAGAATGTGGTTTTGGGAAGAAGAAATGCACTTATTCACTTATTCGCCAATTCGGGAAATCCATTATCCTACACGACGTAAAATAACCATAATAAGAAATCCGAAGATTCAGAAAATCGTAAATTCAATATTATTTGCGTTAGAGCATGGAGGAAATACATTATCATATACACTCCACTTCGCGCCGAAGGCACGGTGGCGGATTTGCAAGGTTGCGCGCTAACATCGAATTGTGAAATGCACGCGTTTCGACTTGGCACTTGTACAATGACCCCTGTTCGGAGGCTTCGAGGACATTTGTATAACATTGAGTGTAATCAAGGCGCGGTTCTTGTGGGTGCTCGGGGGCCCGATAGATCTTTCTTCAGGCGTTCGCCCGAGCCAGGTACGTCCCAAGATGCATGCAAGCATTGTTACAGGAATTTCATTGGGCCCCAAATGTGTGCGTGAGGGTTCTTCTGGGAGAACGGCAGGATTTCTCTTCAAAAAACACTGGCCTTGGAAAGCCCCTTCCCCACCCAATGTAGCTCTGCCGTGGCAAGTTCAAATACAAATTTGTAGAACCCTTCAGGGGGCGGAAGGCAAGCCAGATGACGAATAAGTGTCCAGCAGTAGTGGCAGCATCTGGGTCTGTTTCTCTGTCTACCCCCCCTTCCGCACCGCCTGCTGGTTCTCGCCCCCTGCGTTTTCAATCCCTCCTCCTCCGCCTCGTCCCTGTCATCTCCCTGCTTCTCGGGTTGTTGCTGCTGCTGCTGTTCTGGATTCGCCGTCGCGCTGCCTTCTTTGTTTTCCATCGTTTGTTTGATTTTGTACTTCGCTGCTGCTACTTCTGCTGTTGCTGTCGTTACCGTTCGTTACCCCTGATCCGCCAGCTTCTACTACTGCAGCTAATGCTGCTGATGCTGCTACTACCCCCTGCCCTCCTCGTTGTAGCCTTTTGGCTCACACATGGATTCTGACCTTGCGGCTGACCACATATTGGGGCTTGTTGCGCCCCTGTTGCCGGGTGCAGTGGACCCGGACCAGGGAGCGGACAATGCGTTAGCTATTGTCGCGCGCCACTTCCCTAACAGGCTAGACGATGATGATGCCGCCGCAGACGTGGCACTTCAGCATGCGGCCGAGGCCCGTCGCCCTCGCTTCGAGCGGCGGAGCTCCCTCCTGACCTTGCACATGCGCAAAATCAAGAAAGCACTTGATCGCAGAAATGCTCGTTCACTCGCGCCGCACGTCCTGGAACGGATACAGATTCACAACTCAGTCCATGCTGTGCGCCACAAAGATCTCATAGACGTCTCAGAGAAGAAACCACAAAAAGTCAAAGGTAGAGGCAAACACAAGTGTTGGCTCCCTGCAGCGATTCTGCGAGTTTGCTTCGGGAAACGGTTGGTTGCACAAGTGATACGACGGCGCAGGATCACAGGGAAAAAAAATCCACATCAGGTAACTGCGCCGACAGCATCGTCTTGTTCTACCTACGCCTCTTTCTACGACTCGGGGAGCAGCTACGTTCAAATGATCAGGAACGCCGTGGCAGAACACTACGTTGCCATGGAGGCCGCAGGATTTCGATCTCTTCTACACGCCGATCTCCAAATAGTGGAAATCCAGCTGGACGAAACTGAGATCCCTTCACGAGTCGATTTCCCAGGCGAGCCTAATCACATGATGGTCATCCATATGATTGTTCAGCGGTACCGCGGAGATAACCATTTGAATGTCCAGTACGTCCTCCCACCTGCGATTGTTGAGGCGACAACTGCAAACCACTTGCTAGCAGCGCTGACTGCGAGGATGCCTTTTACCTTCCCCCAGTTGCAAGCGACCGCCACGCGTACTTGCTTGGTGTTGAACGTTGATTCTGCAGGTTCTTGCCTGAAGCTGGGTCGCCATCTGGGGGACCTGCTTCCGACCGTCGTGGCCCCCTGCAGGTTGCACCAACTTTGCATCGCCATGGTGTTTGTGTTGAAGGCTGCTGGCTTGACATCGGCAATCTTTTGCGCCGCGATCCTCCTGCACCAGCGGCGCGTGCAGGCCCGGATCAGGAAGGCCTTGAAGAAGTATGTAAGTGAAAAATTGGAGTTGCGCTTCGAACCGCCAGACCCTGAACACGTTGATCAAGTCCATGCCGTCCTTGACGGGCTAAAGCCCCTTATTCTCGACGGTGCCACTGAAGGGATAGAGGGCGTTTCCGCCAGGAGGAAGAGGTACGCAGCCTTCCAGCGCCTTCGTTCCTTCCTGGCCGGCCCCCTCGGCACCGAAAAGATCGGCCACTACTGCCCTTGCGGCTGTCACTGCAGCCGACAGCAGGCCGTGGGCGAATTGGTGGGGCTGTTGGAAGAAACATTTCTCAACCACCCGCCCATCATACCAGCTTGCAACAAATTCACGAAGATTGACCCGCCGACGCTTTGGTTCAGTGTATTCTGCAGCTTGTTTGCAATACTCCCACGGTGCATGCAGATCGCAGCCGAGGCCATCGACGAGGACGAACTCGAGTTGGATGTCAGGGAAGAAGCCAACGAGGCAGTCGCCGTTGGCATGAGCGATGCAAAAGCTTACAGATTGCAAGAGCAGGCCCGTTTGAAGAAGTCGAATCGGTGGTTGTCGAGCTCCGTTACCAGAGATAAACTTGCTTCGGTCATCATCGCGATGCGTTTCGTGATTACTTTATTGGGGGTGCTGTTCAAGACTGCTCGCAGCTTCAATGCCCCTGAGAGGTCATCTGCATCCATCATGGTTTTTTTAAGCGCGTCGTCTCCAGCCAGGGCCGCCATCCGGAATCATTTCGAGATGCTGGAGGACGAGGGCCATGCGAAATGGAGACCGCTTCGACATGGAGGCCAACCTTGGGATTCACAGCTCTACGTCACTGCCAGCGTACCATCCTTGCTCATGGTAGCTCAAATGATGAAGCGTTTTATTCGGCCCTTTCGTCATTGGCCGTGGAAGATTGGTCAGATCGCGCGATCGGACTTGTCGTTGATGGAGAAGAGGGCTGTCGCTGACGAACTGCACCGAACCAATGACTGCGACGTGGATGCCTTCAGCAAGTGGATCAAAATCACCTTCCCGACTGCAGACGCAATGGTATCAGACGCTGCTCTCGACTTCTTTGGGAAGCTGTTCAAGCATGTCCCTACGAACAACCTTCCTTCGGAGATGAGGTTCTCACGGCAGAATCGTCACGCTCATTCAAGCCACGGTAACAGTGCGGAGCCGGCTACCCTGTTCAGCAACCACGTCCTTTCGGAGGCTAAGACGTGCTTCGATGCCCACATCAGGCCTTCTGTCGGACGTCCGTCGGCCAACCACGTTGATGACGATGCCGTCGGAGCAACGAGAACGACGATGATGATGATATCACTTGGGCCTCTTCG